ATTTGGAGAACATCAATCTTTCTCTCTCTTTGGCTAGGTATCGTCACACTAAAGCATCCTGAGGCAAGGAATACGCAGAAGGAGATGGTAAAGGGGGAGAGGAATAGGCGACATGTTCAGATAAAGAATTATGCAGAAGTTCACCTGCTGTTGTCACGATCAAGACATGGAGAGGCGCGGCTGCAACAGAATAGATACTTTAGCACAGAGAAGGAATGGATAAAGTGAAATATAAGGAAGGAAATCAGAAGTGACTTTCAACTGAAATACATATTTTTACACCAATACAGTATTCATTGAAAACAAATGGAAATCCAAATGAGATATAGCTCTATTCAAATGCTGAGAGAAGAGCAAGGTATGGGGGCTTCGTGGTAACTCCCACTTTAGGGAATTGGGGATGTTAAAAAATCACTGGATATGGATTTGTAACCTTGGTCAACATTGGGTCATGAGGGTGCTTAACAAAGTCTGAGTGTCCAAGAAGCTACGGAAACATCAAGGGTATTATGATGAAAAACATAAAGTCTCTGATTTGATAGACATAGTTTTGACGCAAAGGCATTTATTTTAGACATTTAATACTTTAAATATAACGATAATAACCTTTTGAGCTGTAACAGAAGAAATGCAAAAAGAGAAGGCACAATTTAAAGTATAGCTTCAATGACAAACAGAAGCATAAACTATAAGGCAGGGCAGGTAATACCAATTACCCACTAGATTGTAGCAAAAACAAACTATGCAAACAAAGCCTTGGTCAATAATTCATTATTGTCAACACTTCATTTCCTGCTTTAGAGATTGCTGTCCTCCTCACTGGTCATAATATCTAATCCCACATTACGGTTCTACCTTTCACTCCTCTTCTACCTATGAGTCTGCTCTTCTGTAAAACCTTCCGTAAGTTTTCACATGATTCTCGTGTTTTCAACCCTAATGACATTCAAAAGTATACATGCTTAATGGAGCAGAAATCCAACCTTATAAAACATTTGTTTTGCTACTTATTATGAAACAACTTCCCTCATCTAAAAGAATTCACCTTTATGTAGCTAAAAGAAAATTCTAGGGTGTTGTGAAATACATGAACAACTAACTTAACTGCCATACATATTAGATAAACATTAATGTTGTCAGGTGAGAACCTCAACTTCCTTGCATTCCAAATATCCCATTGTTTGAGAGAATATCTTCAAGATGTTTTTTAAAATAGACTTTATTTTTGGAGCAATTTTAGGTGAACAACAAAATTGCCTTCAACATGCTTTTATGGAAAAAAGTTTTTTTAAAAGATCACCCTATAGACCCCTAGTTAATGTAATATCGTGTAGCACAATATCATGAATTCACATTTAATTGTTGGCATTTGACTATAATTAAAACACTACAAAAGCTAAAGACCTTCGGAACAACAATGTTTAATATGATTTACAAAGCTAGCTACTGCTAAGAATTGTGCCTTGCATTTTCTAATTTCTAATGCACTATGAAATGACAAAGATTTGTAAGATTAAAATTCTTGTCCAAGATTATGTTGTTATGATCATGACTGAGATACAAGAAATGACTGTTGATTAGAGTCATTGTGAATCAGAAGACAACAATTTAACATAAATAGAAAATATTTGTCTTTCTTTCACCAGATATTGGCTGTGTCTACCGAACAGAACAGATTTTTAAAATCACTGATACCTATTGTCCTGTAGTCATGAACATTAGTCACTGGAAACATAACGTAGGGGTAAAATAAAATCACCAATACTGCTCATTGGTAGAAACAGTGTCTTCTATTCATCTAAAATCCCTTTATTACATTTAAGAGAACATTATATGTACAAATCAGCAGCATATGAATTAAAAACTAACTTTATTATGACGTCTATCAAATTGTCTTTTTTTTTTGGCTAGGCACAGTGGCTCACACCTGTAATCCCAGCACTTTGGAAGGTAGAGGTGGGTGGATCACCTGAGGTCAGGAGTTTGAGACCAGCCTTGCCAACAGGGCAAAGCCCTGTTTCTACCAAAAATACAAAAAATTAGCTGGGCGTGGTGGTGCACGCCTGTTGTCCCAGCTGCTTGGGAGGCTGAGGCAGGAGAATCGCTTGAACCCAGGAGTTGGAGGTTACAGTGAGCTGAGATCAGCCACCACGCTCCAATCTAGATGACAGAGCAAGACTACATCTCCAAAAGAAAAAAAAAAAGTGTGTATGTGTGTTTCTTACATTTTGGGTAGATCTTGAAGTGGCTTAAGAATTCACCCAATTAATTAAACAAAAACTAACTTCTTCAAAAATAAATAAAAGCTACTATTTAGGAACCTGGTATATAACGAATAAAATTACGAAATATCTTGCTACATGACATGGTATGATGAGTGTTACTCATATACATTAATATCATCGTAGCTTTCAAATATCAGGAAACCCAGAATCATTGAGCTTTCAATAGTAATAACCCATCCTATTAAGAGTCATCAAATGCATTGTGTTTATTCAAACACTAGAGACACTAATAAAGAATAATTTGCCTAATTAAAAATAACAGTAAGTCAATCATTACTACTGAAAAATGAACCACATTGATGTCGTCATTTAGAGGAGTCAGAATACATTTTGCTTAATTGATATGCAATTTGTGAAAATCTGGAACATGTGTATGGTGATTGTACAAATACTAATAGCTATAATCTATTGAGCACTTATTAGTACTAATTATTTAAAAAGCATTTAGTTATTAAAGCTCACCTATGGGATCAATAATATAATGCACATCTTATAGATAAGGAAACTGAAACTCAGAGATTTTTACATAACTTGTGTCTGGTGTCACATATGACTATTAGTGTCAGGATTTAATCCCAATAGGTCTGACTCCAAAGCACACTTTTAACCACCATGTTTCCCTCTCTTTACAGATTCGGTGTCTTCCAACTTTAAATAACAACATATAGCGTGTTTTCTAAAGGCAGGAGCTAGATCTTACTTAGCTATTTTCCTTAGTACCTGGCACAATGTCAGGTATTTTGTAGAATTGCACAAATGGGTGAAGAATGAATACCTAAGTGAATGGAAGAAGTAAAGAACATTTGCAAGAACTAGGTATACCTTAATTAACTAGCTCTCTCTAATAACCAAAGCCTTATTAAGCAAAGTTTTCCCTAACAGTTTATATAAAGCACCTGTACTATTGGTGCTTGTAGACAATATCAGTGCCAGGCCCCCCAAAACAGAGATTCTAAAATAATTTATCTGGGTTGAGGCTGGGACACTAGTATTTTTTAAAGCTCCTAGGTGATTCTAATGCACAGCTAATGTTGACAATTATTCAGTCAGTATTAAATGCTTGAGATTCATAGGAAAACTGGTTTACTGAAGACTATGAATTTAAAGATCTTTATCTTAACAAGTAATTCATCTGCAACTACTGGGTGCTGTTGGTTCATTATAAGTAATGCACCATAAGTACTTATAGTATCTAGTTGTACACAACTGAGGTGTAATTGAGGTATTTAGACTATTTTGCTGCCTTTCAGTAATGAAATAATTTCTTTCAAAAGTTCCTTTTTTAAAATATAAATGATTCATTTTGAAAACTGAAGTATTGCCATGCACTGACTCTTTTGTAAATTCAGTTATTAGTCAATTACATTTTACCTAAAATCATCTCATCACTTTGTAGGCTGCATATGAATTTTAAACACCTTATTAAGGTTTCTAGAGTCTTATCTATGTTCTTTCAATATTCTACATCCAGGCCTCTTTTCCTTCTTACTTATCATTGTGAAGAAGTTTACTAGCAGAATACAATGTTATACTTTTTGAGTAATTTATAGCTTTTTTTTTTTTTAAAGTAAGTAAACTTGAATGAAGTGTTTTTTTATTCTCATTAATAACTCTTCCATCAGAAATTAGCCTCTACTTATTTAACAAAGAAAAGAGTATTAGGATTGTTTTCAGTAAGTATATAACTAATATTATTGTATGAACCTTTACTTAGTAGAAGATTGGTTGAAGAAGTCTAAAATTTTTAACTAAAATATCTTGAACTCTTTCCTGAAAGGAGAATATTTTAGAATAATAAAAATAAAAAAGGATCTACTTTTCAAAATAGTTCTGGGATTTATGGATTAGGATTTTGGGATAATAATTAAAACAAAAATATTGCATTCTGATATATAGAATATAAATAGAGCTTTAAAAATAAATAAAAATAGAAATTTTATATATAATTATGATATTGCTATATTATTGGAAACTACTAATATGTAAGGAAAAAATTTGAAGAGTTTTATAATTTAAAATTCCTAAGGGAATTTATATTCCACACAACTGAACACCTTAAGAACAACTTTAAGTATGTTTGAAAGCATGACTCAAACTCCTATTTTTTAATGAGCTAATAAAAACAGGCAGCATTGCTTCAACACTGGTGTGTATACTCTCTGAATGACTTTAAGAAGACGGCTGAGAACCTGACTGGTTGCATTCAAATTTCCCTTTTTGTTTATATCCCTACTTCAAATAATATATAAACTCCTCTATACATTTGCATGATTCAAGCTTCCGTAACATTATTTTAAATGCATTAACATCTGAGTAAGGCAGTTATTTCATTGAACCAATCAGGTAATCCTAATACACAGACATTTTCTGGAAATCAAATGATTCAGCTCCTCTTTTTAAGATGTCTTAAAGATAGTACATGAATAGTAGGAAGGCCACCAGTACATTCCAGTTAGGTAGCAAGCTGTTTGACGCATTCTACTAGTTGTTTTAAAAGAATAGTCAGTTTTTTAATGCTGAATTCAACCTTTTTTGCTGGTTTGTTGGTGTAGATACAGAGTTTATGCTGGATAAAGCAATGTTATTTACAAGTTTAAACAAAGGGCACCTCCACTGTAAAGCTAGCCACCAGCTAAAGCTACTGGACAAAGCTGCTATTTTCACGCCCATCTCTTTTTACCTCTTAATCAGGATACATAATATTGATTTACTCACCCTGAATGAATAGGACTAGAAGAAAGAGCCACGTTGTCTAAGTTCTCAGTGCCCCAGCTTAGGCGATAAGAATTCCTTTCTGCCTCCTTGGCTAGAGCTGACACCTAAACACAAAGGACACTGGATTGAATAAAAACACTTTGCTTCAATTAAAGTAAAATATAATGAAATGTAAAAAGTGGCATCCCTGGAAAGTGGTCTTACCTAGAAAAATTTTCATTAAAAAATATAAGACCAATGTATTATTTACAATGAATCTTTTAAAATGCATTCTCTTTTAAATTCCATTATTAAATAGATTATATAAGATTACATTTGTGTAACTGTCTTTGAACAGAGTAGGTGTCCACCTATTTCCCTGTACCCAATCCACCAAAAGTGATAAAATCATAACCAAAATTAAAATATTCCAAAATAAACTTTAAGCCTTTCTCATAGCTAACAATTTTAAATATTGAAAGATATAACCTAACCTGTAGCATTCATCCTATACCTTAAATGTACCCCACCTCACTTTTGCCTTTAATGAAGATTTTATGTTTTTAAAAAAATAATGTTTATATATAATCTCCACAGAAGAATTCAGTATAGCTGAAGAAATAAGCAGGATGCTTTTTCAGAAAAACACTGCTCATTGGAAAACATCTAGTGAACATTTTTCATGTTTTAGGAAAACCCTCAAATCTCTTATCCTAGCTTGTTAACCAAATTCAGAATGACTTTGGGGAGAATTAAAAACTTCCTCAGGACATTTCTAGCATCTGATAATGTTAAAAAGCTCTCAAGACAGCAAAGGCATGAAGAAAAAATGTCACGTACCTGGTGGCTGGGAATCACAACTGAGTCGTCCATCACAGCACTGTCCCTCAGGTAGGAGGCATGGCTCAGAGTGTGAGACCTGTCGGAACTGAAGGATCGAAGGCTGGTAGGTGGGCAGGAGGCCATGGCATATACCAACAGCGGTAGTAGGGTTGGGATGACAAAATGATGAGCCGAGCAGGAGAGTGAAAAAAGCGTGCTATTAGCTAACAGCGCAACTTCCAGGGGGACACAAGTCTCTGTGTTGTCCTACCTTTTTGTTCAACAGCTAAACTAACACATCCTTTGACAGGTTCCTACCGCTCAATGGCAAGAGCACAAGGGAATCCAGAAGTTAAAATTTGATACTCCTAATCTGATTCATTTTCTTTCCAGAAATGTTTGAAACCAGCAACTGTAGTTTATTACTGCCAGTACAAGAAATTCTCACAGGAAATAATTCCAGGATAGATTGCTTAAATGTGTGCTAAATGTTAATCTCCCTGCAACTAAGAAAAATATTAGGAGGAAAGTAGACAGCCCTCAGAGAGAAGAACAAAATGAAAGCCCAGTTTCATTTTCACTCATTAGTTTCCATTTTCTCTCCATGCCTCTTTCTCCTCCTCTTTGAACTGTGAATGACTGAATGTTGGTGCATTCCCCTGGAAGGTACAGAGTGAAATGGACTGTGGCCAGAAGCATGCTTCCTGCGGAAGTGAAGTTCCTCTTGTTTGTCTCTGGTGACTCCAACAATGCTATTATTTCAAACGAGAGCACTGTCCCCTGTGCATGTCCTGTATGTGGTGAGTGAAGCTCCAGAGTGTTGGTTGCTGTGGTGATGAGATGCATGAGCACAAGAAATGGTTTCTAAGCTCCAGCCCAGAACACAGACACACCTGCCAGCACAAAGACAAATGGCCAATGGCCACGGACCAAAAGTGAGGTTTTGCTTCAAAATGGGATTTAGGCCTTGATAAACCATGCATTACATTTTTGAAAAGTCTGAATTTTGAAGTTCTAAATTACATACTCAAATGTAATAGGTAAAACTTGACATTTGCATAGATGCAAGCTCATTCCTTTTAAATCAATTTGTAAACTCAAAGGACAGATTGATATCTTAAATAAACTATATTTTATACAGTATAGTTCAAGTATCTGTGTTCAAAATATTAGCCCAAAGCCCATAAGGGAAAAAAAGAGATATGCAAGCTTTCACAATATTTATAGAAGCAAACATTCATTTACTTTTAGCTAGTAGGTGTTTGGCTAATGAAGCACTATAGAATTATGGACTAAATGTTAAATTAGCATATTTATTAGTAGAAACTGTCTTCATTTTGCAAGTATATTTAATTTTGTAAGCCATGTGCTATCATATGTATGAGGTGTCAATATAGCCAGCATCAACTGTCTTTGATGGAGTCATCACTTTGTAGGTAATTCACAGTTATCCAGGACCTCCTCCGTCTTACTGTACATGTAGGTATATTCCAAAAAAAAAGTCTTAAAGGGTAAGTGACATGAATAAAAGGAGTTGATTGTCTGATCCTATGTGTTTACACATACATAAACCTGTGTTTATAATAAAACAAAATCTAAATATAACTTGAGAATTAGCTATTTTATGTTATTAGGCTCTTGGAGAAGATTGAGGCTCTTGACAGAGCCTTAATAATTTCATCAACAAGAGTTTTAGCTCCAGCAATTGGAGGCTGTTTGTATGACATCTGGTTTTACATTTAGCTTTTGATGGGAAATCAAATTATTGGGAAAAAGTTTAATCTCGGCAAAAGCCTGTCTCAGTTGGGGGAATGGATGAGTTTTTTCCTGCTGTAAATGACAAAGATAGCTAAGATTCACTTGGATGTGTTTTGTACCTGGTGCACTAGACCAGCAACTCTTAAATTCTATTTACCTTTATTTTGTTTTGAAATTGGCCAAGGAAGGGAAAATAGTGGAGGAGCAAACCTCTTCTATTTCCAATACAGCTTGTCTATGGACTCAACCATCTTCTGGAATAGCAGAAACACTGGTCTCAAAAGGGAAAATGGAAATTTAGCTTGAATGAGAACAAACTGAATGGCAAATAATGGTACCTCGAATAAAACCTTGTGATGTGGCTGCCAGATTGCAAATGTCTAAACTTTGAAAGAATGAATGAAGTCTCAACTGCCACTCTCAGGGAGTGACTATGGCTAAGTAGACCAGTCTATCTATTTCAGGAATGTGTTATTAAAGAGCCCATTGGGCTACAAAAGTAAAGCCACACTTTGCAATCAGTGTATCAGTCATAAAAGTGAAATTTTGATATCCATTTCGTGGATACCTGAGTCTTTCTCTAAATTGGTTTTGTACTGAGAGTAACAGAGAGGTGCTGGTGATCTTTGTCTTTCCTAAAACTCCAACAAAAAAGAAATACAGAGAGATAAGAAGAGAAAGAAGGAAACAAAGTGACATCTGACCACAAAAAATTGATTAGAGAATGACATGAGGATATGTATACAGAAAGTGAGAAAAGTTGGACAGAGAGAGGAAGCAAGAATCAATAAGTCAAAATCATATATCGGAGTGCCTCTACCTTTCTCTGAGTTTTGTTTTAACTTCCTCTACTTGCTTGCTGCTTTCTGAAATATTAATTGGTTGTTTAATCAATGTGTACAGTTTCTAACTGCTTTTGAAAAAAATGATATCATATAATCTACTTAAATGAAATAAAAACAGACTATTCCAACAGCAGAGAAATTATTCTCTCTAAAAGAATATTTTCTTTAAAATAATATAACTGAAGAATTATTCTCACTAAAATCATATAACCAGCACAACAAAGGTCTGGAATAATTTAAGTCCTTGGGTCAGAAAATGTTCACTCTTATTTAAGACATTAAAAACAAGTTTAAATATTTTCCAATACAATCACCAATTTTTCATTAAGTCAATGCTTCTGCTATTCAGTTAATAAATGTATAATAACATAGCCATAGAAGTGTAAAGTTTTATTTGCTGTTCAGCTAGGGGATGTGATACGGGTTTTTTTATGGTCTTAATTTATACTTTTTATTGGACTACGGTACAACTGCTTTCTGAACAAATAGGTGGTAGAAAAGTGTAATTTTATTGAAAAGTATAATAATTACTATCTTGGTAAACTGTAATATTTATTAAACATTCAATTAGTGGAGTTGCAAACTTTATTGAACAAGTAGAAATCCAAAATTTTCAATGAATTTGTTTTAAAACCTGAAGAAGTTTCTGTGGTTCATTGTTATTTAGCATTTTATATTCAATTTGGAAAGCATTTTTAATTTGTAAGCAACAATAAAATAAAACAGACATGGAATCCAACTAATCATAACTTGGTTATATTTGTATTTAATTTGTATTAAATTGTATGCATTTGTATTCTTCCATATCTATGTATATTTTAGGTATCAGGTTATTTTTTCTATCTTCTCCAACTATACATAGGCTAATTGGGGTTGTTTGGGGTAAGCCATGCTAATGTGTTATCAACCACAAGGTGGAGCTGTGATAGTTGAAACAAAGCCATACCTGGGTCATGTCACAGATTTTCATTTTAATCATAATATCCACCTCTTCTAGCTCAGCTAGTTATTCATTTTAACATATAAAAATCTTTATTTTAGAATAAATCCATAATTCTAGAATATAAGCACCCTCCCCCAGCAACACACACACACACACGGGTTGAGCAATGGGCAGGGAAATGTGGATAAATCCAGGGAGGGCTTGTTTCCATGCTCTGTTAATACCTACCTGGGCATGGTACTAGTGAAAGCAATTCAAATAAAGACACAATGCAAAGGAAAAAATGGTCACTGAAAACAGGTAACTTATATTGAATTGCCTAAGCAAAATTAAAAATAAAAGAAGACGACCATGGAAATGAGATGCTGCCTGCAATTCTGATTTGGAAATGGTGAATACATCTGGTGATCTAAAAATGCAAGCGGAGACCTGGAGAACACAGTATGTCTGTTTGTTTCATGTCCCCTGACCTCATGTGCTGAAAAGTATGGAATTTAAGTAGAAACATTTGACCCATCCATCCTGTTTTATAGAAAGTATTATTCTAAATTCTTCCTCAACCTAAGTACTTTGAAAGAAGAGAAATAGGTCAAATCAAGTACTTATTCTTAATAAGTAAGACCATGCAAAAAATAGAAGCTTTATGGTTGACAGCAGTATGACTAGTCACAGATTATCATCAATTTGTGCAATGCCATAAACATTACATTCTATTGAAATTTGAAATATTTTAAGAATCTCAGAGTATAAGGTACAAATCTATCAATGTATCAAGAGGGCTTATGGAACACCAGTCCCTTCTTCTATTCCTACCTCCAGAGGGGCTCCTCCTTCTGAGAACACCCTTTATCTGAGTTATTGAAGCCAAGGTGTCAATTTAATCTCCTTCCCCTTCTTCACCTGACTCAGGAAATTCATCATTAAATCTGACTAGTTTTGCCTCCTAGACATGTCTCAAAAAACTTTCAAATGTTTTATTTCTGAAATTCTCTCCATGACTCTCACCAAGGTTAGAGTGCAAGTACTCTTACGGCACCTGCAGTGAATACACGCACAATTGCTTCTCAGAATGATTGCAATCTCCAGGTTTAGCTCTTTGAAACTCTCCTATAAAATTCATCCTCCTTCTCACTGGCAGAAGGATCTACCCACTATGCAAATATAATTCCCCATCCTCCACACTTACACTCCAGCATCACTGCATTCCCTTTTCTCTTACACACCCTACGAGCCTTTGCTTAACACCTTTTCTCAGCATTATTACTCATCATTTGGTCTCAGTTTGGTTTCATCTTTTCCAGTAACCTGGAGCCTCAGGGCTTTGGTGGCCCTCTATGTGTACCACTAGCCTACACCCTTTCCCATCCCATTAAGCTATGAAGTAGCAAGCCTATCTTGCTAAAGAAAAAAAAAAAAAAAAAAAAAAGATAGTGGAATGGGGCATTGGTGCTCAGGGAAAAAGCCCAAGAAAAGTTTGTTTTTGCTCATTATGCACTTAGACTCTATTACTCTTTAAGATATTTATTTCTTAGACTCTAAGTATGCTGGATATTCATAAAATAGCTTATAATGGAGCCAACTTTAAAATTATAAACCTGAGATTATTGATTAGCAGAACACATTACACTACATGGACAAACTTACTCTATTTTTTGTCTTAAGAGACAGTGTCTTGCTATGCTGCCCAGGCTGAACTTAAATTCTGGGGCTCAAGTGATCCTCCAACCTCAGCCTCCCAAGTAGCTGAGACTACAGGTACATGCCACTGTGCCTAGCTATGACATCCATACTCATGGCCTCACTTATTAGTCATACTTTCCATGAGGAACCACAGAATGTTATTACCTAACTTGCGTCAAAATATAACAAGTGCCAGTAGTACTACTTAATAATAACAAAAAGTAACACTGATCATATATCTCAGAATATCATATAAACCTCCCAGATTTGTCTATTAACACTGGGATCCCTCAGATTTTGCTCCAATTTTCTCCTGTATCCAGGCTCTCGTGAGATTCTGTTCAGATTCTTTTTCATGAAAAAGTCAGTTTCAGGTAGTTTTGTTCTGAATGTATTTCTTTTTAATTCAGCCTCACAACATACTTTATTCACAGAAATTATGTCACTAACAAAAAAGCGGGGGTGGGAGAGTATTTAAAGTGTCTGTGATACCTCTCAGTAAGAATGTCTGTAAGGCAAAATTGTCCTTTTGAGGAAAAAGTGGCCAGTGATTAAAAACACCACATTTAAACGATAAGAGTTCTTATTTATGATGGGTTTGCTTCTTACTAGTTGTTTGATTTTGTCAAGTTATTTTATCTTCCTAGGCCTTAGTTTTTTTTGTCTTTAAAATGGGCACGTCTTAAAGTTGTTAGAGAATGGAATAACATAGCATGCTAACTTCTGAGATTAATAAGGTACCTATTAAGTGCTCAGTAATTGCATCTACATTTTTATCATCATCAGAAAAATATGTTGCAGATACTTCTGGCTGATATCAAGTATAAGCTTTATGAGATACCTGTCAGATCGTCCTCCCTCCAAGCTGTATCGCAGGTAATTCATACCATCCAGGAACTGACTGCTGGGTAGTGAGTCATCACCCAGTTCTTTTAGGTCCTCAGGCCTAAGGTATTCTCCCCCATCACCTGTCATTGTGTCATCACCTTGAAACAATCAGAGGAAGAAGGAGGATTATTTGTTGAATGTAATATCAACCACAAAATATAATCATGATTGTGAAATGCACCAACATCATTGCCTTGACATTGATGAAACTGCACTGCACACTAGAACACAGAACACCAGCAAACAACTACACAGTGTTAAAACTTAGAGATGCAATATTTGATTGATTTTCTTACTACTTGCCAAGAAAAAGTAATCACTTGAATTTTAATTCTTTTAATATTAAGTTTGGATACCACTCATTGTTTACTTCTGGGAGAAAAAACTTCTAAGATGAATTCTAACTATAGATTTACCAAAACATAGGCATAGTCTGCTTTAGGATTAAGCCTACATTACTTTCAGAAAAAAATACGGGTTTTATTAACATTTCAGAAGACTACATCTATTCTTATTCATGAAAAAGTGAAGGGAATGGTTAAATACAGAATCTGTCACATAATACAAGCACAATGCAAGCTGCACATTATGGATCCCTTAGAAAAGCCAAAAAGATTATTTAAAAACCAGAAGTTGGCTGGGCACAGTGGCTCACGCCTGTAATCCCAGCACTTTGGGAGGCTGAGGCATGTGGATCACCTGAGGTCAGGAACTTGAGACCAACCTGACCAATCTGGTGAAACCCTGTCTCTACTAAAAATACAAAAATTAGCTGGGTACAGTCGTATGTGCCTGTAGACCCAGCTACTTGGGAGGCTGAGGCAGGAGAATTGCTTAAACTCAGGAGGTGAAGGTAGTGAGCCAAGATTGTGTCACTGCACTCCAGCCTGGGCAACAGTGAGAGACTAGTGTCAAAAAATACAAAATAATAATAATAAAAACCAAAAGTCTGCTTATATACTCTCTCTTTATTTCCCCCACTCTCCTACTCCATCCCTACTCCCAAAAATTCCAGCACCAAATTCTGAATACTACTCAGCTTTAGGCATCTCATCCTTCCTCAAAGTCTGTTTGCTTTTGCATTTCATCTTGCTTCTCCTAATTTGCCAGTTCTCACTGCTGTCTCTCAGCAGCTAAGACGGTCACAGGGAATAAATATAACTCAAATAAGCTTTAACTTCTTGGTTCTTAAAAATCCTCAAAACCCCTTAATAAAATAGGGCCTACATTTCAAGGTTTCTTATTTCTCCCATCTATCTTTCACTCTTGTTATACCTTGGTAGGGGAGGAAGGTTTTTAAGGGGGAAAAAAGAAAACGTTAGAAAGATAAAGGTAAAAGAAGAGAGTCTAGCTGGAGTGACTCCGCATCTGAAGGAGCAAGGCACAGTGTTTGATCAGGTAGAACATGCAAATCAACTACAGGAACCCAGCCTTCCGCTCCTGTGTAAACAGAATCTTGTTAGAAGATGGAAAGACATTTGAAGAGTATATTTTTAATCAAATATATCAAAATTTTATGACGCTGATGACAAGTCAAAAATTAAAAACCTCTGATTGGCCAGGTACAGTGGTTCACACCTGTAACCCCAGCACTTTGGGTGGGTGAGGCAGGAGAAACACTTCAGCTCATGAGTTTGAAACCAGCCTAGGCAACACCTAGACCTCGTCTCTACTAAAAATTTAAAACAATTAGCTGGTCATGGTGACTTTTGCCTATATTCCCAACTACTTGGGAGGCTAAAGTGGGAGAATTCCTTGAGCCCAGGAGGTCGAGGCTATAGTGAGCCATGATTGTACCATTGCACTCCAGCCTGGGCAACAGAATGAGATCCTGTCTCAACACCACCACCACCAAAAAAAAAACCACCTCTGATTACACTGAAAGTTGATGAATGAATGCCCTTTACATTCTCCTTTATTTTGTGCATTTTGATGGTTTTGTTATGATGCTATCTGCCTAAGGCAGCTGCTAAGTTGAGTGACATTAAAAGTAAGTTTTTAGTATTTTATATACACCTATGGTGGCCCTAGATATATAGACAATGTCCTGACTATGTTTCAGAGAGAGATGATCCAAAGAAGCAAAGTCCCTAGATGCTGACCTAAATGCTGAAAGCAGTGTCTAAATCCTGTCCCAGTGTTGGCATTAGCTGGAAAGGCACCTCTCTGGGGACTAATCTTGTCAGTGCTATATAAAATTTCTCTCAAAGATAGTTGCGTATTAATCATGCTATTCAGTAGTACATATCAGCAGTGAGACATGGAAAGTGAATCCAAGTAGAAACTAACAGAATTTGAAAAATCACTTTGAAAAAAATCACCCAAGTTGGTATATAACCAGAAAATTCTGCATACAGATCAAAGCTTTAAATGTATTTAATGAGCCCCTGAAATAACACAGTCATATTCTTGCTTCCCTTGGTGGGTGAGAAGATTTCTGCTAGTGCAAAGCTGGCCCATCCCTGCCTCCAAAGACTTATCCCCTCTCATCTTCCTAGATACTTTGTTTGCTAGGCCCTTCATCTTCAACCTTCTCTCCTCTGTTACAGATTCTATGATGTCTTTCCCCTTCCATGGATAAAACATCCATATTTCTGCCATCTTTGAAATATGGTATCTTCTCTCCCTAATTCTTAGACCTTCTTTATTTCACATTCTGACTCCTCTTTGTCAACGGTCAAACTTATCAAGCAGAGGCTTGTTAACTTCAGCAATTAATCAGTGGCTGAGATGTGATTTCTTCTTAAGAAACTATTCTTCTTAAAAACTATTCTTCTTAACTTCTCTGACACAAATCTCTCCTGGTCTTCGCCCTACATCTTTGAGTCTTTTCTGTCTCTACTTCTCTTAAATGTTGTTATTTTCAATCTGCCCTTTCTTTTTATTTCACATATTATCATGTGGACTTAGAGGTCCCACTAGTTAAACACAGGTTTGTATTGGTCCCAGACCTCTCTCATGAACTCTACATTTATATTTCAATTGCCTTCTGGTCTTCTCCACCTAAATTTTCTATAAGCATCTCAGGTTTAGCATGTCCACAGCAGAGCTCATCTTCTTTACCCACCCCCTTACTAATGTAGTTCTCTTTGAAAATTCCCTACATGAGCAAATAGCACAACTACTTCCTTGCCTAAGCCAAGAGGGGAGAAGAGATTATTTAAAATAATATTCAGATTAAAAGCTTTAGCTCTTATTTGTTTGAGTAGAGTGGCAATAGACTTGGAAAGAATTTTGTACAACTCAGACAGCTTTAAAAGAATCATTATGTACTTTCTTTTCTTCAATGCGCTTATTTGATGTGAAAACAAAACAAAACCAGAAGCAACCTTTATTATTTTTACATTATAGGACAAACCTAAAATGAATTTCTTTATTATTTCCTATATTTAGAATAACTTCCGATCGTTACCTACTTACTCACTTAATAGAATGATGATTCCCAGATTTATAACTTAGCTTTTTCTTGTTGTTTTATTTTCCAATGTTTCCAAAGAATTTTGTGAAAACTCTTCTCTACTAACTGTAAAGCATCAGCGTATTGCGGGCTTTTTACGTACAATTGTTTTGATATCTGGAAACCATAAGATTCCTCATCGATAGTGAGTGGTGTATTTAACCCCTGTAGGACACAGGTCTTAATAGCATGGGAATAACTTGAAGTGGAATGGTGGCCAGAAGCGGTGGCTCATGCCTATAATCCCAGCACTTCGGGAGGCCGAGGCAGGTGGATTGTCTGAGGTCAGGAGTTTGAGACTAGCAAGGCCGACATGGTGAAACCCAGTCTCTACTAAAAATACAATTAATTAGTGCAGTGGCACACACCTGTAGTCACAGCTACTCGGGAGGCTGAGGCAAAAGAACCTGGGAGATGGAGGCTGCACCGGGCTGAGATCACCCCACTGCACTCCAGCCTGGGTGACAGAGCAAGACTCTGTCTCAAAGAAAAAAAAAAGTGGAATGGCTCCCCTTCCTGATAACCCCTCATAATACTGGCAAGAAGATTCTCTGAAATGTTGTGGAACCCACTTCCTCTCAAGCAAATATTATTCCTGCTGAGATATGGAAAAAGGACTGAAACCTGAGATGAAGAGCCCCACCAAGTGTTAAGTGTTCACAACAGAAGTGAGTGTATCAAAGGAGAAGGCGCCTCTATATTTCATCCCAGCACTCGGCCAGCTTGGCGTTCTCTTGATTACTAGTACCTGTCATTCCAGAGTACTAGCAGAGATGTATGAACAAGCCATCTATTCATGAATCCATGAGAATAAGGCATAAGTGAGTCACATCTCTATAGGCATTTTGGTTGTACAGACCCCACCTCATCATTTATGGCCAGGAAGCTGAGTCAGTGAAGACAGGGATCAACTCATGATCCTACGAGCACTTAGAGGATTACCTTCGCATCTTTGATTAAATCTGGATGCTATAATTCTCTTAGACTGAATTCTCAGTTCTGTCTTTTCCTTGCATTTCACTGTCATATTCCTCCATAAGGATGTTATTTATATCATGGCTGTGCTATTACAATAGTAATACTAGGTTTCAATTCCATACCCACCACTTAATAGCTGCATGCCATTGAACAAACTACTTAATGTGTCTAGGCCTTGTTCTCCAAAAATAAGTCTTTCCTTACCTGAAAAAAAAAATATATGGAAGGATATTCACAGCCTGTGTCACAGGGATGGTATGAAGATTAAATGAGGCATGGACCTAGCATTATAGAGGTTTAGTAAATGTTTTCGCTTTTCTTAGATTTCTGCTTCCTTCCAGGTTCTTCCCAATAAACTCCTTCTGTGTACCCCTGCTGGTTAAATCTTTATAAAACCAGATTTAAATGTTTTAATCATTAACTGAGATATTTAAGGTATCCTGTTTCCCAGACTTTTCAGCTAAGAATTCAAACAGTCCACAACAAAGCCTGGTATGTTTTTATGCATCAGCAAACCAAATGACTGGAGGATTTTTCCACTCTGTCTCTCTCTCTCTCTTGTACTTTCCTATCTCAAGACTTTCCCATACTGTTCCTTATCTAATCCCTAAAATATGTGTACCCTGTTATTAATCTGTCATCTCTCAGCACGTTAATGAGACTGTGTTAGGTATATCTATCTCCTGATCTCCCCAAGTGGACATGAAAAGGATAACATAGTGCCTTCCATTATATCTCTTTTAATATATACATTATTTCTCCACATAGGCTTCCTAAAGGCATGCCTCATGCTCACCTTTGATTCCACTGTGCACCAGTTATAGAGCGTTCCACACGCTCTATAATAACATCAATAACACCACATTCACTATTTGTTAATTGGATTCATGAGTAGATATTATGGATTACTTTATATGTATACAGCAAGTTAGCCTGATAGGATATCTCAGTGTAAGGACATCTCAATGTAAAGTTTTACCTTACGATTTTATCTTGAAGAAACTAAAGAAACATCTTTAATATTTCTCCTTAAAAGCTATTAGTATTAAACATAGCGTCATCCTTAATGGCAAGAGTTTGGATACTCTTTTTGGGTATCAGTACACTGTTACTACTAATAAAACAACAGACTGTAGAGGAAACAGGGATAAGCTAACAATTTTCAAACACATGTTGCATTGCGTCCATGGGATGATATCAGGTTTCATAAAAACATATTAACCTCACAAAACTTTAAAGGTTGGCATTGGCAATGTCAACCAGCCAATTTCGTTTATACTAATTCCTTCCATGAAAAGGTTACTTATCAATACGCAACTAGATTCTTTACATGAAAATTATTCAACTTGAATTTTCATCTGGGAAAGAAATGTTATGAAGTTTTTGGCTATATCTAAAACTGTACTTCTCTTAACACAAAAGACAATCTTGGTCATTCACCAATATTCTCCATGAACCAGGAGTTCTTACCACCAACAATATTTAATATATAACATTTTTAATAATAAAATTACAGAATGTTATAACTCATCTCATTTAATATAATAGACAGATCTGAAAGGCTATTTTGTGTAAATGGTTTTCTTTTAATAAACTCAATATTAAATACTTTAAATGTACTAATGGAATTCTCCAGCAATTATTTTCTAAATAAAGGGCTATTTTTAAATTAAGTAATCACTATTCAATTTATCTGATTTATAAATTTAAATTTTCATATAATAGAGTTGCAAAAGTGATACCATGTGTACTTTGGAAACTTCTTACTAGATAAAATATCTTACATTATTCATTTTTCCTTATATGCCAAATTCACCCTAAATAATTTTTAAATGTTACTTTATTTCTATTCTTAGCTATATTAAAAATCACATTATAACTATTAATATATTTTTAATCACACCTGAAATATATCATCAACCAAGAATATAAACTGCATTCAAGTGATTTTAGTTATTATCATGTTCATGCTAGCTCAATGAAAACTGACCAAAGAATTACTTTTCTCTGAATTTAGATTCTAAGAAAAGATATTAGTTGCAAAAAAACAATTATACAATGTTCACTAGATTATATAATTATGTTTGTAGGTCTCAATAATAGCTGCAAAATCATTAACAGTATAAACAATTCATAACTTTAAGCTTCTAAGTTAATAAAATCCACATACTCAAATGCACACATATACAATTCCACTCATATCAAACATGCAACTTCAAAAGAAAAAGATTAGTATTAGGCACACAAATTTAAGCAAGTTGTTCTATCCAGTTAAGAAAAATTAAAAACAAAGAAAAGCTTTCACTCCAAAAATTTCTTCTAATGGTACCTGAATCACTAAGTGCCTCCCCATCAATAAAGTGGTCACCAAACTGCTTAAGAGCTGTTCAACACACAAGTAAAGATAAGAAAGATGATCCCACAAAACAAAATATAATATGCATATAGGAATACTGAGAATTAGTTGGCAGGTACTAACATAGAACATAAAATTATACTAAATACTTGGAACTGCTAGCTTTGCGAATCCCTTTGAATTTACTCATAAAAATATTTTGATCCAATATTTGTTCATTCTTGTCATAAATTCTTATAAAAGCTGAGAAAATTCAATACCTATTACCAATAGGTGATTCAACAAGTTTTTTCTAAATAAGGACATCTCAATGTAAAGTTTTACCTTAGGATTCTATCTTGAAAAACCTAAAGAAACATCTTTAATATTTCTCTGTAAAAGCAATTGGTATTAAACTTAGTGCCATTCCTAACAGAAATACTTTTTCAAACATACATTTTTCATGTACATATATGGAAATTGTTTTTCAATCATGTACATTGGAACAATAGTTGCACTACTGAAATTTGGTTGCATGTTTCTTTCTTTCTTTTTTCTATCTTCTCATAAAAAAATGCTTGCAAATCTTATATGCTGCTTTCATGACTTTTTAGTAGATTTTTTTAGTCTGAATGGAATATTACATGGAAATTCAAGATACAAAATGCAGAAAAGTCAGCAACTCTAGTTGAAGTAGAGATAGGGAGCTAGGCACCCTACTGGCCCATCTCCAGCTCTAGCACAATGTCCCACACCCACTCCAGGCAGTCCCCACTGCTCCTTTTAGAACACCAGGATTCCCGGGACTTAGGAAGCCATTGCCTTAGATCATGTTTTATCAGCTCTAAAACTATAGGGGGCATATTTTCTGACTTAAGTAATACATTCTTATGTTGAATTTGTACTGCTTCCTGCTGTACTATTTTTAAACCTTCTCTTTTTCTCTGGGCTCTTTTCCTCTGGACTTAAAATATATTCTGCACATATGAACCAACCAGAATACAGAGATTTCTCAATTGATGAAGAATACTCATTGATGGAGTATACTTTAAAGACTTTACTCAAAGGCATTTGAATAAAAAAAGATTTTTAATACAATTAAAACAGATTTTAATAACAATTGTGTTATTATATAGCTATAATACAGTTTTTACCCTTTCCAGTCATATTATTTGATAACCTAACTATAAATGCTAGTTAAAAGAGATAATATCAGAAAAAAATATTAATCAGAAAAAGAGGCTGGGCATGGTTGTTCATACCTGTAATTCCAGCACTTTGGGAGGCTGAGGAAGGCAGACCATGAGGTCAGGAGATTGAGACTATCCTGTCCAACATGGTGAAACCCCATCTCTACTAAAAATACAAAACATTAGCTGGGTATGATGGCGCATGCCTATAATCTGAGTTACTCAGGAGGCTGAGGCAGGAGAAGCGCTTGAACCAGTGAGTCAGAGGTTGCAGTGACCAGAGATCACACCACTGCACTCCAGCCTGGGTGACAGAGTGAGACTCTGTCTTAAAAAAAAAAAAAAAAAATGCAAACACACACAGAAAAAGAGATAATATCAGAAAAAAATATACTAATCAGACAGAATTGCCCCCTGGCCCCTGCTGCCATGGCAAAAGTAAATGTATTGAAACAAAGGTGAAAAAGTGACTTTAAATTATAAGATTCTGTCATCCATATCACCAGCTTGGTTTCTGAAACAAAGGACGACTTGCCCTTGTGTAAGAACATGACAGGTGTCGTAGAAGATTGAATAGAAGTCTTACCCTCTTCATCAGAAACATCGAGAACCTCAGTCATCGTCTCAGGAACATTTAGTTTGTGTTTTTCTGTAATAGTCTGGAAAAACAAAAATCATTAAAGTTCATGTTGAAAACAAAAGTAAACAAAAGATGAAAAGCATCACAGAGGAGGCCATACTCAATAGCAGCAGCAAGCCGTCAAGCCGGGACTACTGCATCTTTTCCACGTGTATATTTTGGAAGTTTGCTTTCATGAAAACTCATTTGTTCTTTGTGAAGATAAATTATCATTTATACCAGAAAAGTTCTTTGAGTTCTCATTTGAAAAACAAATTCCTTAGCAATGGCATTATTAATAATAACTATATTGAGAAAGCAGATTGATGTTTTCAAAGTTTCCCTAAAATGAACTGATGTTTCCAGAAAAGCTTTAAAAAGAAGCAATGAGCATATGCAGTGTATTAAAAGCAAAGCCATTAGAAAAGAAGCTATAAATAATGTGAAAGACATAAACTCTTTGGGTAGAAAATATGACACATCTCTTCTGGGCTCAGAGGATCAAATTATCTCTATAATATTTCAGTGGGCTAAGGTTCTGGTTTGTTGCTTATTTGCCTTATGCAACAGCACTCCATGGTTGTCAGATCCACCACCTTTCATTCCTGATGTATAGGGTAAGGATAAGAGACAAGGATCTGAGTCTAGCTGTCTGGGTTCAAATTCTAACTTCATCATTTATTACCTACAAGGCCTCAGCAAGTCCCCTAACCTATCTGTGCCTCAATTTCCTCGACTATAAATAAAGGATAGAAAAGTACTTCATAAAATGAAGATTAAATTATGTAATATATGCAAGAGCTCTAAAAACTGTGCTTGACCTATGTTGGTACTCAATAAATATTAGCTAGTATGATTTATTATGATTATTGTAACTCAATATTAAACGCATCTTAAAAGTGAAGAGCCTCTGGACTTTTTTAATGGAACATTTTGAATGTCTACTGCATGCTTGGCACTATTTTAGACACGAGATATACCAGAATTTGTTTAAATGACAGAAATAAGCCAGACCTAGAAAGACAAATACTGCATGATCTCACCTATATGTGGAATCTAAAAAACTCACAGAAGCAGAGAATAGACACCTGATGGTGACCAGGTACTGGAAAAGGAAGTGGGAGGAGCATTAGGGAGATGTTGGTTAAAAGATACAAAATTTTAATAAGACAGGATAATAAATTCAAGAGATCTATTGTAAAACATGGAGACTATAGTTAATAACAATGTACTGTATACTTGAAAATTGCTGAGAGTAGATTTTAAGTGCTCTCATCACAAAAAATGGATATGTATGTGGAGGTAATAGATACGTTAACTAGCCTGATTTAGCCATTGCACAATGTGCATGTGTGTGTATATCAGAACATCATGTTGTATACCATAAATATGTACAATTTTTATTTGCCAACTAAAATAAATAAATAAAAGACACATGTACCCAAAAAGATAAAAATCCAAATCTCATTATTTTCAGCATCACCTAAAGACTATTGAGTCTCAAATTCACACCTTCAGTTTCTGTATTGAAAATATATTAAGTGCATGAATTGACACTGTCATGGAAACTTAAAAAAAAAATAAAATGAATCCCTTGACATAAAAGTAACATCTTCAACCAAAGCCACCAAAGTACAAAAAATAGGTTGTGTAGTTTTTTAGGCTTTGACACAAACATTACAGAATTATTTGAGTGGCTATAATAAACCTATCATCAATTCTTTTCTTTCCAAAAGCAGTAGATAACTTCAAATATATTTACAAAGAAATTCAACTGGTTAATCAAATTCAACTGAGTAACTCTGACTATATACATATATAATATCTGTGTGTTAAGGGGAAGTGATCATAATGCGATACTGCATGAGCTTCTGGGCAGCTCCTCATTTTCTTCAGAAAACTGATTAAACTGGCTCAGAAGAGCTCTGTGATTCAGTAAAAAGGGAGACGTAGCAAAGCCTCATCTCTCATTCCATGCTATGATCATGTTAAGCTGCCTTTATTTTGACAGGTCGTGTTCTCTTTTGCCTCTGAGTGTTTCCACATATTCTTTCGTTTACCAGAAATTTTCTTTCCTCTCTTCTCTTGGCTCAGGTTAGATGTGACTTTCCTGGAGAAACATTCCCCGATCCTCCCCAGTGAATGTCTGTTTAACTGTGTTTATCTGCTGCTATGTACTCCTAGAGCAGCATGTGTGTTGTGTCATACGCCACGCACTGTGTGTGCCCTCTCTGCTTATCTGCCTCCACGTGAGACTGTGAGTCATTTTAGAGGAAGATTGTTTCCACAGCACCTAAAACATAGTAGGAGCTTTTCAAATAATGTATCAAAAACTTGACGATACCAAATTAAGCAAAAAATAAATTTAAAATCCACATCATGATGAAACGGATTGTTTTTTGAATGGAATTTTAGTTAAAAGACAGGAAGAAACAGAGAAAGTAAAGGAAGTCTCCTGCTGGTCATATGAAAGCACCATTGGAGACAAGGGTTGTAAATTCAGCTTGCCTGCATATTTCTAGTGATGTTTAAATGGTTTTATTCTGTGTCTTATTCACTGAAAGTAAATGCTGCAGGAAAATCAAAAGTATCCATCCAAAAATCTGGAGAATAATAGTGGTTGATAAGTATTTGTTGAATGAACAAACTCAAAAAGACTCTGTTACAATTTGATTATTATTTTAATATTATACATTTTAATTTAGAAATTTAATATGGAAATTAGAACCTATGTTCTATATCAGTGGTATTCCACTACAGCTACATATTACAATTATTAGAATAATTTTAAAAATATTGTTACTTGGTCCCATCATGAACCAATTAAATCAAAATCCATAGGAATCAGGCCCAGCTATAACAGGGACCAGGGTATTTTTTTTTTTAAAGTTCCTTAGGTGGGTTTATTGTGCAGCTCAATTTGAGATTCATTTTCCTATGTTAGGGAAAGTGTACAAATTGTAGGAAAATGATTTGCGTTTAAAATATAAGATAGAGATTACCCTACTATGACTTCTTATTCAAATTTTCTTTTCTTTTCTTTCTTCTTTTTTTTTTTTGAGGTGGCATTTCGCTCTTATTGCCCAGAATGGAAGTACAATGGTGTGATTTCAGCTCATTGCAACCTCCACCTCCCAGGTTCAAGCAATTATCTTGTCTCAGCCTCCCGAGTAGCTGGGATTACAGGTGCGCACCACCATGCCTGGCTCATTATGGTATTTGTAGTAGAGACAGGGTTTCAGCATGTTGGCCAGGCTGGTCTCGAACCAGGCTGACCTTGGCTTCTCAAAGTACGGGTATTACAGGTGTGAGATACCGCTCCTGCCCTTTATTCAACTTTTTGGGAACATTTAAAAATGTGATAGGCTGTCTACTATATCAGAGTGCATTAGAAAGTTAACTTTTGCACAAATGTTTTAGAGTATTTGTCCTTCATAGAAATATTTCAATAAGGATATGCTTCTCTGTTTGAAAATAATTGCTGGAAATACTTTTTAAATGATTAAGTTTCATTGCCTGGTAGTCGCAGTTTCTATTTTCAGGTGCTGATAATGGGACCACATTTCCTTTGTACTCGGAAGAGTAGTAATAATAATTTGTTTCAGTTTGGTCACTGAATGCTATCAGAATTACCAGCAAACATATGCGGCAACAGAAAAAATAATACGCTGTGATGATATTGGTCATAGATATTTTTCTGTATAGATACTAAAAATAGCCTCTATATGCAACGTGGTAAATATAATAGCAACTATACATGAGAGAGTATTTGACCTTTAGAAGGCCATCAATAAATATTTGTTGAATGGATGACAAATCCTACTTATGTATAACATAACAGGAAATGAATACATATTTTCCTTTTAAACAAAATGTCCTTTGAAAATTTGATTATTTAAACATAAATATGGTTTTATGCAACTACCTCTGAACAAGGCTATAATGTACACAGAGAACAAGGCTATAACGAAATGATCATGGACATCTGCTACAGAATCTAAGATATTATGGTCAAGATTAGAAACTACTTTAAAAGTTAAAAGAGTAGGATACTAGGTACAAGTTTAATGGAATATAATTAAACCAGATAATAAGGCAAAAGAAATAAGATATAATAGATGGATGAGAGATTTAATAATGAATTTATATTGTTAAGCATAAGATGGAAAATACAGAAAATAAACTAGGAGTTCTTAACTTTCTGCTTTATAAATGGTAGACAGTACCTGGATTTGTTCTATGCAAAATAAAATGTGTGCTTAACTGATCTTCACTTAGCCAACCCTCATTCAGCCAAACCCCCTGGCCAGCAACTACATTTATATCACATATTCACTAAGTCACCACAGTGCACTGAGTAATCTTGGTTATGATGCTACCTTTTAATGGCCATACCCATGGCTTCCATCGGTGGAGTTCAAGCTAAACTTGTTTCTGTTTCTAAACATATTCATACCAATCATATATATTAATATAACGTTATACCCAATTAGATGTAATTGAGACAATTATCACAGGTTGAAAACACATGTCAAAAGTTTAAAAAGATTCTGCACTAAGTAGGTCTCTTTAAGAAAATACACAGGGCTGGGCTCATGCCTGTAATCCCAGCACTTTGGGAGGCCCAGCCAGGTGGATCATTTGAGCCCAGGAGTTTGTGACCAGCCTGGACAACATGGCAAAACCCCATCTCTACAAAACAAAACAAAAATTAGCTGGGAGTGGGGCATATGCCCACCTACTACTCCCAAGTAGTCTCAGCTACTCTGGAGACTGAGGGGGGAGAATCAACTGAGCTGCAGTAAGCTGTGATAGCACCACTGCACTCCAGCCTGGGCAACAGCATGAGATCCTGTCTCAAAAAA